CAATACCACTACTCTGTTACAGAAAACCGAAGACAAAAAGAATTTCAAGTCGTACAAGATTATGTATATAACCTAATGAACATCATGATAACAGTTTCATGTTTCTGTCATGTCATTGTCACAGCCATGGAAACAAATCAAAGTTGACGAAAACTATCTAATTAAATTGTTATTTCTCATGTCCGTCATTGATTCATTACAATCAGATTTGTTCTGAGATTCAAGCTGTAATTTTTGAAGGAAGAAACAAATGTTTTGACATTCTTTTTGGATTAAAAAAACCCTAACATTAAAATAATTTGGAGATTACTAGATTAGTGACAAACCTCATTGTTAGACTCGTCCTTGACTCGTTCAGCAGTTGATTCACTATAGCGAGATTCATAAATTGTAGCAGGAAAAAGACCTAATCCAGCCAAGGCTTCTGCCGCCTCCAAATGGAGAGGAATATGGTTTTGAGAAAGGATACGTGATTGCAAGTTTTGTAGTGTTTATTCCCTTATTTTAGGATATATTAATTGAATTATTCATTTACCATAATTAAATATGCTAAGATTACCATTATACCCTTATTTATTTATTTAATTATTTTATTATTTCGTGAATTCTCATTGGTGCATACATGCACACAATAGTTGTAACGAACATTTGAACCTATCTCTCTCTCTCTCTCTCTCTCTTTATATATATATATATATATATATATATATATATATATATATATATATATATATATTTACTATCTTATAAAAGAAATCTCACTATTTCTAAAAATAGATTGAATATAATAATATTATTTTTTAAGACGTTCAAATCATTAAGCTAATAATACAAGTAGTCATCAATAAAATAATATTAAATTTTAACTTGTGTTTTGAATCATTATATTTCTTAGCAAATTTTATCTCCTTCCCTGAATTTCGGATAATTCAAAATTTGAAACCATCATAAAATACATGTTGATTCAAATATCCCTCCTGCAGATCGCTCTTTCTTGATTGGTTTTTATTTTAATCCTTACTTGTAATTGATTTCATCATTTTTAACTTTTTGTATTTTTATCTTATAAATATATTGGGTAAAGGCTTTATTATATCAGGTTTGTTCCTAAAAAGGTTTTTATTATGTTTCTTTAATGTGTTGGCTTAGCAGGTTCAAAGATCTCAACCAAGAGGGTCAGTTAGAGCATTGTATTATCATTAGTTTGTATATTTTGGCATCTTGCTTTTGCAATAAAAACGGTTAAACACAAGATTTGACATGATTAAGGTAGTTTGTATATTTTTCATCTTGTTTAGTCTAAAAATGAAACCTTTTTCATCATTGGTCCTTATAATATCAAGTTTCATCACATGGACTTCCTGATTACGGTGATTATTGTCCTTATTATAAGGTTCTATATAGATTTTGTTCAATATTTTAAGGTTTTGAGAACCTAAATCAATATGAATCGTTGAATTACATACCATCGTTGAAAATGTTTTAATTTGTGACCAAACTTGGTTTAAAATCACAATGAACAAGTTGACACCTGAGTATTTTGGCCTTGTTAAAGGCCTATTTATCGACTTTTGAATCATAACACCTGATATTCTAAAGGTTTATTTTTATAAACTATTATTTATATATTTTAGCATTTTACTTAGTAGGATATTAATTTAATAAAGGAATTAAGGAAAACGGAAAAAAAAAAAAGAGGACGATAAACAGTACAAGTGGTTTGGGTATGTATAAATGGAAGTAATAACCATTTAGGGGGTGTTTAGCAAAAAAAAACTTATTGCTTATTAGTTTATTAGCTTATAAGTTAATAAGTAAGTGTAGGGTAACTTATGAAAAAATGACGTATTAGAGGTTCCCCACCGGAATAAGTTATTTTAATCCAAACACTTTTTTAACTTATAGTGATGTGGAACCTAATAAGTTGTTTTAAAAAAAGCTTAGCCAAACACCCCATTAATATGGTATGGTAATGCTCTTGAAAAATAGATGTTATTTAATATTCATTTCTCGAAGTGAACGCAAAATGGTTTTAACTGTAAAGAGATCAAATTATTCGTCGTCCGCCGCTTTGCGCGAGTAGACGGCTAGTATATTATAAAGGAAATCATATGATTTCTAGAAATAGCTTCCATATAATAATATTATTTTTTTTAATACATCTAAATGATTTAGCTAATAGTATAGGTAACAATCAATAAAATAATATTAAATTTATAACTTAATCCTATTCAGATGGAAAAGATAGACAAAGATTCAAATTATAAATATATTATACGTAAAATAAAATTAATAAATCCTTATCTAAAATACCAAATAAAAAATGTGTCTCATATATTGTGGAAAATTAGAAATACCTGGTGATGATTCAAAATTTCAATTAAAGGCTCCACTTTTATTATTAAGGTTAATACTTGAATAATAAATTAAATTATGTCTATAAATATTATTATAATATTTATCTTTATTATACAAAATACAAAAAAAATAAAAATTAGTTATTAATATAGATTATTAATATAAAGTGAAAATGACCGGGATAAAGTTATTCATTTTTTTTAATTTTAAAACGTTTACCTTCTAAATAAAGTGGTAATAATAATTATTATACATATATACACATTATTTATATCAATTTTGAAAATTAGAATTATCAAAAATAATTTCAATATGAAGAAAATAAAACTATGCATTTTACATGAAATTTATTATTATTTTTATATTTATAAATATTTGACAAAACAAAAAGAAAGTTTTAACTAAAAACAATCCGAATGATTAATAATTCTTGAAAATAAAAATCAAACATGTCTAATTTAAATTGACTGAAAACCAACTATTTTAATATAATGATTAATATCCAATAAATTATTAAATACAAAGGTTCCATATTATAACTTAATGTTAAATGTGACTCGAGCTTTTGGATCATGTTTATGAAGCATTTGAAAAACTTGGACCTCAATGGAACACTTGGGGTTCATGGAGCATGTGACAAAGGAACGAATCTTCTGAGAGAGGAATGAATCATCAGACAAAGGAACTGATCAAGTGCAAAATGAATGGAACGGATTGTCCCGGTCATGCTCGTGGCCCAACACTCATTCCAGCCTGGAACGAATTGTCTCACGATATTCGGAATCTAGCCTGGAGCATACGCATGATAGTTGACAAACGAAAAACCGACACCTGCTAACTCCAGTGATGGTGCACACACCATAACCATGGTTAAGCCAATCACGGCTTAGGCAATGGACAAATGTACGATCCACCAATCAGCAAACCTGTCCCGATTGAGGTCGGACACTCCCGTCTCCAGGAGAGGGATTCGCACCCAAATCTCTACGATAAAAGGCCATTAGCCTCCAACGATAAAGATGTTGAACTCTCACTCTCTAAGCCTTACATTATACACTACTCTCCATGAAAGACCGACTTGCCCATCGGAGCGTTCCCCCAGGATCACCTCCTGGAGACCGCTGACGGCTTGTTTCCCTTTGTGATTGTAGATCTCCATCGGAATCCATATAACTGAAGAATCGTCACCATCGCAGAGGTCTAATATCACATCAGGAACAAAATCATTACATCTAATAAAAACTCCATTAGTTGTCAAAGTACCACCATCCAAGAGAAGACATATTGACGACATGGAAAAAAAAACACCTCAAATGTCCAAATCTCAAACCAACTGGTCCCGCCCAATGAAGCACTGCCAACACTTTCCACTTAGCTACCTCGGTAGTCTGTCTCGACTATCTCTCCTCAACGACCATAAAAAAATGAGTCGTATTGAACTGATCCACAAATATGAAGCCTTTATCTTGATCAAGGGCATAAATTCTTGAAAACTTTTCTTTAGACCATTTCCAAGCCAATGATCCGTCAAGAACTTAGTAATCTTCCCGTTGCCAGTTTTGATGATACATAATTCTTGCAGGTCTATTCCTTTTATTTTATTATAAATATAAAAAAAAACCATTAAACTATTAATCCTAACAACGTATTTTCTAAAATGAAATTGGTTAAAAATATGTTTATTTATCTTTCAATAATTGAATTTACCTTCCACTAACTAATTTGGTTGCTTGAAAAGTGTTCCAAAATGATTCTTTACTTTTGGTGTTTTAGATTTTCCTCGAAACACTTTGAAAGCGACTTTTGACGAAATTTCATGTGAATGTTTGCTTTTCCTCTTTTATGGGTTCAAGTATGATCAAAGTGTTGACATCATTGGCCCCTTTTGGTTTCAAGAGGTAACTTTCTCAAAATTATAATAACCTACTCACATTTAAAAAATATATATATATATAATGTAATATGCAATTTAATTACTACTTAAAAGCAAACGTTTTGTAATCATAGCAGACTGCTTACAAACAAACAAAATTGATTTTTTTTTTTTTTTGCAAATTAATTGAGTTTATTTTAGATATGAAATAAACCATGTTTTATATTAAAAGCGACATTAATAGGAAAAAATATTATTATATAAAAATGATATGATAAGCACAACTAACCGTTATATACAAGTTTGATATGTAGAATTAGGATGATGGCAATGGGTAGAAAATTTGAAAATATACGTAGAATTAGAATGATGACAATGGATAGAAAATTTGAAAATATACCACTTTTTGAATAGGAAAAGTAATTAGGTGAAATCTTCATTGTACTTTTATAAATGCTTTATTTTTTTTTTTAACCGGCAAAAGAAATATTATTATATCATAACCGTACTAGCAAGAAGCTAGAATAGGTGCTATCACATTTTCAGTTAAAGAAAGGGTGAATTAACCCAATGATTCCAATCTAATTTATCATATCCACCTCTATGTTTAACTCATACATAGGTATGAGTTTTTATATCAGAGATAATTTTCGCCGATTCATAACAATGTTTTTTAAAGATTCTTTCATTCCTGGCTTTCCATAAGCACCATAGGGTTGTGACCACAATTGTCGTGAAAACTTTTCTCCTTTTAGGGCAATTCCCCCGTTTATATGCAAAACCATGGATACTTGAGACCATGGATACTTGAGACTGATTGAAAATCACATGCCCAAATCTTGCACCATTGGAAAATCGACTGGAATACCTCCTTCGCTATGGAGCATGACACCAAAATATGGTCCCCCGATTCATCCACCTCACTGCAAGCACTACATAAAGTCGAAGGCAGTGCAACTCTGTTCTTAAGAGCTTCAGCCGAAGGAATACGATTTTGTTTTGCCCGCCACACAAAACCCAATACCTTTAATGGGATTGTCTTGAGCCATGGGAATACACCGTCGCATACCGGGAAGGAAGCCCTTTCAATTCTATCCCGAAGGGTTGCCACGCAGAATTCACCATCCACAACAAATGGTGATGTCCAGCTAGTCCCCGACTCTCCCAGTTGCATTACCTCCTCAGGAGGAATATTTAACCTAGCAAGAGCAGCTTTGCTTTTCACAATATTTTTCCACACTCCCGTCCATCGAAACTTTAGCTGGAACTAAGCATGGCCGCCATGTAGGTTATGTAGTCCCCTGATGACCTGTGCCAAAAATGAGTTTGGTTCACTTTTCAATTTCCATAACCATTTGGTGAGAAGTGCAAGGTTTAAAGATCGGATTGATCCCAAACCTATACCTCCCACAACTTTCGGGGCTGTAATCTTTTCCCACGCCACCCAGTTAATACTTTTTTTACAAGTAGCACTACCCCATATAAATTGTCTTCTAATTTTTTCAAGTGATTTTATGACTCCAATCGAGGCATAAAAAATGGACAGGTAGTAAGTTGGTATACTCCCGAGGACAGCTTTAGCGAGTGTAACTGTAACACCGTAAATTTCAAGACAAAATTTTCATTTAAAATAATCATTTTATTCTTAGAAACACTTGTTTAAAATCTCATTCATAGTCGATTTACAAAACATGACTCCATTTTCACTTGCATAGAAAACCAGGATCCTCCAAAATATGACTCTTTCTCTGGTGTGTACAATCAAGCCGGTGTCGTCCCGTGATACTGAAAGAAACCTGAAAAACATCACACAAAACACTGTAAGCACGAAGCTTAGTGAGTTCCCCAAAATACCACACAAAACACATATTAGCCACTCGAGGCTATAATTCTATGGGTCCGTGCACCCGAACTCTGTGAACCCTCAGGTTCTAACTCTGGGAACCTTCCGGTTCCAACTCTATAAACATGCACAACATAAATCACATAGAAATAATGCAGTACAACACATCACGTACATATAGCATACAAATACTCTGATCACATAACTCTGGTTACCTACTCAAGGTAAAGTATAGTGAGAAGACTCACCTGGCAAGCAGAAAGCAGATATCCCCACACTTGAATCTCGAACTCGCCACCGCCTAACACGTAAGGCAAATACTCTCATGAATATAACTCTCGAGACTAGAATAAATCCTCTCATAACACCCTCTTATGGGTAAAAGACTATTTTACCTTTCTCTTGGCCCAAAGGCCACATCGCTGACCAAACCCTAAAAGTCAACGGCCAACCCTTGGTCGAAATCAAAGTCCTCAGTCTAAGTCAACCCCTGACTGACCCTACTCGCCGAGTCAACCCTGTGACTCGTCGAGTTCCCATAATCAGAACTTCACTCAATCTGCGACCTAACTCGCCGAGTCACCCCGAGACTCGCCGAGTCCAACAACTCTGAGTCCACTCGCACACGACTCACCGAGTCATCCCTCGACTCACCGATTCTCGACTCAACCAGAGAATATTTGGGACTCTTCGACAAGACTCGCCGAGTCCAAATGGACTCGTCGAGTCCAAGGCTATCTTCAACCTACTCGCCGAGTTGTTCTTCCAACTCGTCGAGTTCCAGGCCATCTTCAAGCAACTCGTCGAGTCGCCCCATGTGACTCGTCGAGTACCACCGGTCTGAATCCATACAGAAGCGTCTCAGGCCATGCAATTGATCCAAAACATAGATCTAGTCTCCTACCACTCATCCATCACGTAAAGTGGCAAACTTTACGTGAATCCAAAGAGATCTAAGCCGTTTGCACATTGGGGCTAGGGTTTGGGACATGTAAGCTTCACTAAACACTCCAACACAGGGACTTTCATGCTCTCTGATTCTTCTCCCTTCCAGATCTGAGGTAGCAACCTCAGATCTAACCTCTAGACTTCCCATTTCATCCATAGACAATTTCTCACAAACCCCAAAATGAAGAAACAACATAACAACAGGTCAATAACGAGATATTACCTCTAAGTGATGCCCCAACTGCAATGAAATTCGAATCCAAGCAAAGCCCCTTGCTCCAAGCCTTCAATCTTCCCAAAATTTCTTCAACCATTACTTCTCCAAGCTCCAATCCACTCAACAATGGTGCTTCTCCGTGATTTAGGGTTTTCTGGGGCTCAAGGGGTGATAAAGAGGCTGGGAGGAAAACATAGTGATCTTTATATAAGGCTCAACCCCGAGAATTAGGGTTTTCTCCACTCAGCGCCTACTCGCCGAGTCCATTACACTGACTCGCCGAGTCGGCCACTTAACACGCAACCAAGTCGCGACTCTACTCGCCGAGTCCGCACATGGACTCGCCGAGTCACTCTTTCCCAATTTACTCTTTTAGCCCTTCAACTCTACTCTTGATATTTCGGGATGTTACAATTCTCCCCCACTTAAATTAGGCTTCGCCCTCGAAGCCTACAACAACTCAACTCCAGAAATACTCCCACAACGTGCCACCTGCCTTAATCGGACCAGATCTCACAAGGCATACCCATCGAAACTCGAACACACTTTTCCTTTCCTTACGGTGTCCTGACCACTGTCTCGAACCGGGCACCGGATGTACCCTCTGATAACCACACTCAACGATCCGAGAATTACCCATGAAACATCACTGACCCAAATCTCAACAATCACTCGACCCATAAGGGTTAGAAGCCATGAACCATCGGATCCCCGATCCGAATCCCATTCTATCCAATCCGTGACGACAGAAAGGCCCACTCTTCAATCCCAGAGCAACTCTCATGAGTCCTCTTCTTGCAATCAAGCACCCAAGCCGCACCAACCTTCGCACTCTCGGGTTAGGAGAACCCGTCGCACTGATGACATCTCTAACATTCCCAGGAGACACCACCACTACGCACACGACCCTTGATCAGAATCAAGCTGGGAGTCCCAGACTCCATCCCTACATCCATCCTGAGACTCTTGGCTCTACACCCGTGGAATCCCTTCCGCATCCTCAGCAGACATCCCATCATAATGTCATTCCATACCACTGTCACAGACACAATGTTCGACCATCATACTCCAAATCATCCATTCTCACTACAACTTCCACTTCCGCGAATCGACACTTTCCTTAGCAAATGAGGGTCCGACACTTCCTCCCATACAACAGCACAAAGGGTGGCATACCAATGCACTAATGATGGTTGTTGAAATAGGATAACTCAACCAAGGATAAATACGTGCCACAACACCCTCCGAAATCTAATACACATGCCCGAAGCATGCCTTTGAGCGTCTGAATCGTTCACTCCCTTTGAGGTGTCCTCATACATCATCATGATAGGCTCTAGCTCATCTCATATCCCTCTTCGAGACTGGTCACCAGGTCAGCTTTTGACTCCACAGCTGAGCCTCCAAAGGTCACCCAAATCATGATCCAAATATCCCACTAACTTCCTCCCCGTGACCACTATCCCGACCCCGTGACACGCAAGTCACGAAATTCTCTTTTCCTTATGCAAGAAAGTACAATCCAACCGAGGATCGTCTCCACTCTGATCTCTGGTTTTTGCTGCGCATATCCCTTGCGCATCTCACCACATTCCCCGACAGAGACGGGGACCCCAGTCTCACCCCGGTCCAACATCCAGGCTCCAAAAACTCAATACTAGGGCTACTCAAGCCTAAAACTCTTCCACATCATACACTGATTGGAGAACATTCCATCATCACACTCTCTTGCCATCTAGTGAGCACTATGGCTCCCCGCGGTATCACAGCACCCTCTGACTAGTGAGTACTACGGCTCCCCGCAGTATCACAACACCCTCTGACTAGTGAGTACTACGGCTCTCCACAATATCACAACACCCTCTGACTAGTGAGTACTACGGCTCCCCGCAGTATCACAACACCCTCTGACTAGTGAGTACTACGGCCCCCCGCAGTATCACAACACCCTCTGACTCCACTAGTTCGTGCTCCACAGACTATCATAGGCGGCTACCCATACTCGTCTCGAATATTCATCACAGACTCTGGAGGCAATCGTCATAACAGATGCCCACCCTTGCGAAGATCCACTCTCCCAAGTAATCTCCCTGGATGCCCATACTCGAAGGCTCTCACTAGATCCATAGATACCTGATATACCACAAGTCGTCTCAACTCAAGATTCACGAATAACTTTGAAATAAAGATATCAATACCCGAATACCTCGGAACACCCCCACCGAACATCACAAGATCCTGCCACAACCACAGATCTCCTGCTCCAAGCACCATATAGATGCAATAATACATTCCCTCTGAACCCCATAACTAGATCTTCATTTTTCCCAAGTTGAAACTTCGGTGTATTCAATTTCTTAATTGCAATACGAAGAACGCTAACGCTACGAAATACGCTGATAATTCTCCGAAACCCTTTTTCCCGCCGCTCAAAATCCAAACAAGGATACGTATACCGACCCGGGAGTTGGCTGCCCAATCATTCTTTATCTACTTGCCCCAACCTTGACCAATACCAGATTCCTGACTAATAAACACCTGTCGTGGAGACATTCATCCTTCTCAAACAAGTACTTCCCGTATTAACTCACTCTGACCCCTTTCCTCGATCACCGACATCTCTGGTCTCATGATTTCTTACCTCATATCTCTATACTCCACTTATAACTGCTCTTGACAAATCTCTGCTTTCTTACATACGGCACCCGGTTCTCCCCCACTTAGGGATCGAACCATCACCAAATAGCATGCAACTAACCCATAACTATATTCTCCAGCAAAATCGCACCTGCCCCTGGAAAGTGCTACACAACGCCCGATAATCCCCCTTAAGGAAATGAATCGACCTCATATACTCTGAACCTCGATGAACTCCTCAAGAACTTCTCGTCACGTCTGCCTCTAGTCGTTCCAAATCTCGTACCAATTTAGTACCAAACAACTCAACTGCTCGATAACATCCCTGGCTCATAGACTGAACCATAAAATCATCGTACCCCTCACCTCAACTCATTAACCAACGCTCCAACACCGGGATCATCCCAAGAACAGGAACCCACTCCCAAATTCAACACCCCATGGATAGAAAACTCTCGGCACCGCTGAACTCGACTGAACTCCCCGCTGATACCACTACCGTGCACCCGACTAAACTCAATTAGGTATA